AATCAAAGCCAGATGTGACCAGCAAGTGAAAAATCTTTTCAGAATTTCAATACTTCAATTTAAAAATATTTTATAGGGATGGTGTGTCATGTTAAGGATTTGTTTTCACAAGTCAGAAAATTGGTTCTTTGTTTTGCAAATGAAAGATAAAATACTGATTGATTCTATAGCACGTGCCATATATAAATGTGAATGCGCTAACTGTAAAATTGGTTTTATTGCTGAGGTGTATTGTCATTTCCACAAATATACAATGGAACATTTTGGGTTGTGGATATAACACACACACACTTTTAAGGTGTGCTATATTTACGGGTTAGAGTGTTCAATAGCAGATCGTATGTAAATATAAAAGTGGATACTTAGGTCAACACCCAGCAGTGACAGTCTATTTCATGCTTAAACACAACCTTTAGCCCTAAATGTTTAATATTCTAGAGCTGATGTCATCATTTGTGCAATTTCTCATACACGTTAAATCATTTATGACAGAAAAGTATTTAAGAAAGCTGTAATTACTGGAAAAGAAAAAATGTAACCAAAATCTTAAAATACGAATGCTCTTTTTCAGGATATGTCAATGATCCACATTAAAGTTCACAATTATATAATCCAGTACCTTATGATTTGGCTGTTAGGAAATGTCAAAAGGAAATATTTTCTAATAATATTCAAATAACCCTCACTTTAAACTGTTCACTGTCAAATGATAAGTAGAACTTGTGAAAACAAAATGTATGGGAAATAAAATTCATAGTTTTGCCTCTTGTGTTAAACTAGCTTATCAATGTCGATAACTGTAAGAATAGTTTCCTCACACAAAAATTGAAAAATCAGTATTTACCTCGTGGTTCTTCATGAAATTAGAAGTGTAGATTTATTTTAGGAATCATTTATGTTTTGGACTCTCCAAGAACAGGAAACTGAGGTTGATATTCTTTATGTAATTCACATAAAAGATGTGAACACCCCTCTGTTAAAAATACAGTCACCAGTATAGAGTATTTTCAAAGTAATTTTTTTTTTTTTTTTTACTTTCTTCTAAATAAAATTCAATTAAACAAATTAAAGATATTTTAAGTTGGATTATATCATGAGAGAGAGTGATTAAGAATAGGAAGGAAAGTAAAATGCAGACAAGTGGCAGTGGGTGGGAAGAGAGGAGAGGAGAGGGAAAGAAAACAATACTCGACACTTCTAATCAAGAGTTTGAAAAGAAAACGCTATGGTGAAATAATCTCATTTAAGGTTTAATGTAAATTTTTCTTTTTCTTTAAAAAAAAAAAAAAAAAAGTAAGAAAAAAAAAAGGGGACAATTTATGGTTACTGGAATTTCAAACCGTCTTTAATTTAAAGACAAACTAAGGAGTTAAAATCCTGCAGTAGGTTTATATACAAAATGAGACGTCATATCATTGGCTTTTGAATGTCCGATTGCTAATCAGTCAAAAAGATCAGGGATTTAAATTAAATAATTCAAATGCTGCACCTGTCTACCACAAACCAAATGCTAAACTGAATTTTAAACAATATTTATTATCTTGTAAAATAATAAATGTGAATATTCAGGTAAAAAAGAAAAGTTGAAGTATAAAGACCATTGTTGTGGAACTGTCCCCCAAAACAATTTTAATCACACTGAAAAATTTTTTGTAAACCATTTCAAAACCAAAACTTTTTTTTTTTTAGTTTTGTTACCATTAATAGCTATTCACAGGAAATTAAAAAACTTAAAATGTTTTGGAAATCTAAATTTTTTTTTTAAATAAACAAACCCCAAAAACTTTCCAATTTTTTTTTTTAATAAAAAAATCACAACTTATTTAAATATTTTAGTCAAAAGACTGAATAATTTTACATTCTTTTTCATTAATATTGATGTAATTTATCAGAATTTAGTTTCATAACTGCGCTCTATGCATTCATTTTCTATATACGGAATATTAGCACATTCCAACTAAGTTTGTAAAGTCTTTATCAAAACAGCTTAATTTACTTGTCTCATGGCTGACTAAATTTTTCTATTTTAATCATTTCTTTAAATTTTCCATTGTATTTTCAATTTAGTTTGATAAGTAGAAAACAACCCATAAACGTTGTTAATGGTACGTTCAAGTTTTTATGACACAAAAATAAATGTAATTGTCCTGCTTTTGTAAAAGCAGTTCTTACATTTAGATCCTAATGTTTTTCATATTTAAGGATAAACATATCAAAATTTAAGTTACTAAATTTTTATTTTTAATTCAAGTTTCATCCACTTGTTAAAAAAAAAAAAAAAAAAAAAAAAAAAAAAAAGAAAAAAAAGAAAGAAAAAAAAAAAAAAAGCACTTAAGTTTCGTTTATTATTTATTTATTTTTTTTTTTGAGTGTGTGCCCATCTATTAAAAAGCCTACTGCTATTAGTAAGGTTTCTTATTTGAAGAAATTAGTTGCTTTTTGAATCAATATAATAGAATTTCACTTCAAAATTTTATGCTGTTCCAAAAAAATCTAACTAGTTATCCCAAACTATCACTAATGTCAACAGGATGACATTAATTTCAAGTCTAGATAAAGATATTGTACAATTCTTTTTAATAAGTATTAGAGTGAAGTGAAAATTTTTAATGTATGCAGAAAAACATTCCAAGATGTTATGAATAACTCAATGAAATTTAAAGAATGTGTTTTTGATGTTCTGTAAGTTAGTTCAACCAAAACAAATTTATTAATAGGGGAATAAAAATGGGTAACAAATTTAAATTTCAAGCATATTTTATTATAAGCTTGGAGATTTACAGAACTGAGGAAAATATAAGAAATCTCAAAAGTAGGATATAAAAATTGAAATTTGAAAGAAACGTTCATGTTAAAAATACATTTTAGAATATTAAAATTCCATCCCAAGTTGTAAGATTTACAAACAGATTTCCTTTATTAAATTCTACTGTCAAAAACATTTTTGGCAATAAAATAGAGATTGGCTAAACAAACTCTCAGCTCAATACATTGTTTAGCAGCAAGTAAGATGCCATTTAATACATATTCCAAGAAAACTTCAAATATCAATCAGCAGAAGAGTGATATGCAATCATTTAAATTGAGGCAATGAAGCCTTTGAATAAAGGTTGATATGTAATTGATTTACATTTAATAAACATTTTATAAAACATCACCAAACATAAACTTTGATTAAATTATAAACACTTGGCAGAATCAAACAGGGTTTTCATTTATAACTTCTATTTTATAATTTGAAATTGATAAATAAAAAGTTGTAAAACAAACTCATAAAAATTTTATAGACTGAGACCAGACTTTATTTTATATTTGCAATTTCAGTCGGGAAGTCTTCAACCAATTGCATCAAGTGCAGTTTGGAGACAAAGCAGAAACACGAGAAATAAATTGTCCGGTGAACTTCTATCTTGCAATTTTGAAGGTTCACGATAAAAACAAGTTTTAATTAAGAATATTTTCCTACACTTTTCTTCGGAAAGGAATTGGACAATAGCATCAAAAATTGCTGTTAGAAATTATTTCACTAAAATCCTCAAGTAAAAAAAAATACTTAGCATAACACAAAATGTAATCAAAGTATGACAAATATGAATAATAAAAACAGAAAGCATTAAAAGGAACTTAATCATATTTTTTTCTTGTTATGCATGTTTTTCAAGTTAAAAAAAAATAATCTGTTTTATGCTTTTATCATATATTTGTCATATTTAAAGTTAAGATTGATAGCATTTTTTCCTCTTAGAATTGAGGTTTAAGCAAAAACATTTTTTGCAATGTTTAAAATGTATGAATAATACACAGCAATTTACCTGTCATGCCCTGAATCATAAAAAAACGTTTACATTATAGAGAACTCATGAAACATTTATGAAACAAGAAGTCTTTGATGATAAATATAATGAAGAACTTGACTGTCAAGTTTTCTAGCAATAATAATCTGAATGTAATTAGCAAGATCTAGTCATCCAAATCTTTGAAGGGTTTCTAGGGTACAATAACAGTTAAGTTAGAAAGCTAAGTTCTGAATTTCAAGTAGATTTCTGTGAAAATTAGAAAAATAAGAACAGTAAACTAAATAATAGGAAGCAATGAAAAAAAAATCTAAGACAGTAAATCATTTATTTCTAAATTTGAGTTTTTCAATGAGGCTTTCTAACTAGCAACACTGAGGGATGTATGAGTGGTGTAATTGCCATCATATGAAGTTGGCAGGCTAAGTTCAAATTCCAGTCAAGGTTAGTGCATTCACTTTGCCATAATGCTTTTGGGAAAGGCATGAATCCATCTCTTCTCTTAGCTATGGGTAAATAACAGGACTCTTTAGTCCTGGTAAGAAAGACAACTCTGAACGGTAGAGGAGGAAATGAAAAACTATACCATATTTTCCCCAAGTCATGGCAATTCACAAATATTTAATGGAAGTTGTGGAAAACCACAATTACCTGCATGCTTAAGTGGCATCATGGCACATATATATATAGATATATATATAAATAAATAAAGAAAACTTTCTCTGTCCTAGCTTAACTATTCAGCAAATGAAAAAGGCTGGTGGAAAACAGGTGCAGTATAAAAATCAAGTTTTTAACAATCCCCTTCAGGACAATTTTGAAACTAAAAACCTACATTCGTCAAAAAAGTTAAAACTGATAATGCTGTAGTTAGGTCTTTGAAGAAAAAAAAATACTACTAGCAAAACGTATGTGCAATATAAGTTTATGCATATATTGAGTTTTTAATTTAATTTAAAAAAAATTTTTAAACCTGGGAATTAATGAAAATGACCTCAGATTTTTTTTTTTTATATAGAGGAAAGATTTCCATGTCATATACTGAACGATGAGTCATAGTCAACCAGTAAAAGGCATGAAATCTATTTGTTTAAATAAGCATCCTATAAAAACAAAAGAATTTAATACGAGCAAATACTCAACGATGTACGATATATGTCGAAGTTCTATGGTTTAAATTAGGCAAAAGAAAAAGAGGTAACATACCGTTTCGGAGTGTGAATGTCTTCTAGCATCTCAGTACCAAGTCCGCAAATTAGCCGTGTTCCACTGCTCACTACTATTTGTCTGCGTTTTTGTTTTGTTTTGTTTGCTTGATATTTTTTGTATATGTTATCGTCCGTTATTTTTAATGCAATATTTTTAGTCCATTATGTGGTAGGTATTGTGAGAAGTCCCACGCATAAAAGGAGTATCAAAGTCCAAACAGAGCAGAAGACGAACAAAATTACAAGAGAAGAGGTATACGCAGTTCATTAAACTTACATTTTTGTTTTTCTTTTTTTCGTTTTGTTTCTTTTTAAATATTAACTTTTTTTTTTCTTTCTGACTTTTAGACAGCAGGTAAATCAGCTGCCATGCATCAACTTGTGCCTTTAGAACAAAACAAATAGCTGATTGCATTAAAGCAAATTGTATAAGTAATAGAAAACGTCCATGCAGAAGCAAGTTGATGGTAGGCAACATAAATATAAGATGTTGGCGAGTGAGAGTCCACTAGCAGATGTAGGCTGCAGCTAAATAAACCAGCCTAACCAACCCCATATATACATATAAATATAGATATACATATATATGTGATAGTTCATTAAATATATTTTTTTTCTTCTTTTTTTCTTTTCTTGTTTAGCTTATATAAAAACATAGTTAAAGGCAACAGGTTGTGCTTGCTTGCTCAGATCCCAGCAGGGGGCTGTCCAACAGCCCTATCCCATCCCCAATACTCAAGAAAGTCCATTAGATTTAGGAAATGGGGGGGGAGTGTGACTGATGATATCGAATGCAACCACACATTCTTGCTCTGAATTTGTTTTCATTTCTTTCTGTTTTGTTTTTCTCTCTTTTATTTGGCAGCAGCCATTACAAATAATCCTTTGATCTGTACCACGTCAGCCATGATCTCATAAAACATTGTGCAAGTCCTTTGCACATGTAAACACCATTTTTCTTTTCTCTTCATTTTTGGTTTTATTAACTTCTTTTTTCAATTCTTAAAATGAGCATTTTCCCCTCTTGTAGCTGGGCGAACCATGGCCTAGCTGAGACATGCTGAGCCTTCCTATGTCTGGTGGCAAGAGGCTCCAGGAATTTTAAGCCCTGTAATATGCTATGAAGAAAACCATTAGACACCGACTATTTGAGAAAATACTTACCAACCGAGAACAGTGAGAGAATAGTTCATATTACATATCATCATCATTATTATTATTATGATCAATGTTAACAACATTTTCTCCCATTCTCGGCTCTGTGCATTTCCTTTAATTCCCTTTATTTTTTTTGTCATAGCAGAGGAAAAAAAGGATAGCACATTTCAGAACATCTATGTGCCTTAACACTTTAAGACCAACCCCAAAAGTACTTCAGAATGCGAGGTCATGATATACCTCTTCCAGAGAAAACTTGAGCTGGAAACAAGTGCTCTAACCTAGAAATTTCGGAATTCCTCAGGCCACTGCTGCCACTGGTTCCAGTCGTGCCTGCTCCCACGCTGCCTGCTCCTCCTGGGCCACCTGCACTGCTCACTCCATAGCGATCCATGTGCCTTTCTGAACTTCGTGAACGTCGATGTGATCTCATGGCTTTTCGTACAATACTACCAAGATCTACATTATCATCTGAAGGGAATAATTTGCATAATTCTTCTCCAACTGTTGGTTCAATTTCCTATAAAAAAAAAGGGAGGGAGAAAAAAAAAAAAAAAAAAAAAAAAAAAAAAGAAAAGAAAAAAGAAAAAAATGTTACAAAAATGCACACTTCAGAACAATTTTAGATAACTTTACATTAAGAGATTATAATGGAATACAATGCTTAGAAATCTGAACTATCAGTACATTTTGTCCCTCTTAGAAGTTGTGAAGTTTGCATGAAGCAATAAAATCCAACTTATATTAGACTTAATAGCAGCTAACATGGATCTCATATATAAAGCAAAGCAACATTTCTCTTCAAATAATAAGACAATATCATTTAATAGATTTAAGAAAAACCAAAGTAAAAATGTCAGCAAAATGCTCGTTTCTAAAACAATTGGTTTTGGTTAGTAGAAGTTCTTGAAAATAAACTATATATTCAGACATAATAAAAATTTTTTTTAGAGATTCAAATTAATGTCAAAACTGTCAATTAAGATGAGGAGTCATTTGTATAGATAACATTAACTCTCTCTCACCAAATGTTTCCAAATATTTACAGATTTATTTTCCTTTGTTAAAAGACAATAAGTGATAAATAACATAGCTCAGAATGGCCTGTATTTATTTAAAGCTTGATCAAGCATTTTAAAAAGATACAAAATAATGATCAGAAAACAATAACACATACTAGTTAGTTATACCATAATTGTCTTATCTGATAAAAATTCACTTCTGTTATAATATTTTACCAATAAAACTGAGGGAATGACTTCTCCAGATGGCCATCAAATATCTATACATTAACAATACAACTGGGTTAGATTTGCTTACATTCTTTGCATGAAAAACTATCAACCTATAATAGTTACTAACTGTACTGTGTGAAAATGTAACAATTATTATGAGACAGAGAGGGTTAAGCTAGTCTAGTTGATCATTATTATTGTGCAAGGAAACAGATTCTGACTGAGTATCTTGAACCAAACTAACCTAAGTAAATAACTATTATCAAAACAGAATTGGTAAAAAAATTAGGTCAAGATCAATAAATATAGTGCCAACCTATTTTCTTTCTTAATGTTAGTTTTTCTAAGTACAATTCAAGATGTCAAGTCTACAAATATTTTCTTGTGGGGGAAAAGTGCAACATAAGTTTAATATATGGATTTTAACTATAAAAGTCCCAAAAGCTACCACATAGTAAATATATACTTTCAAAAATGCTGAGTAATTTCTTACCTGTCCATCTCTTCCAATTTTGACATATTTATTTTCATTCCATGGGTTATGCAAATGTGTAGTTCTTGTGAATGGTAGATCTCGTCTGTAAGACAAATCAATACAAAATGTTTTTATTTTGTTTGCTATGAAATTCTGATAAACAATAAGATTAAAACATGAATAATGCTATCCTTTACAAAATAATTTTTAATACTCAAAATGTTTCTGCAACACATTGAAAAGATCTCAGTATTTAGAAGATTATTTTCATTAGATACAACAAATAAAGAAATATTTTCAAGTATTTCAAATTATAGCTACAGATAATAAATCTTAAACTGCACAATTAGATTTAAGGTTGAAATCTGATTATTTACCCAGCTATCTCAAAACATTGAAAAATACATTCTAAGTCAAGCAATAATATTTTTTAAATCCGAGTTTAACACTTGTTTCTGAAGTTTCTGTTGAGAGAGAAATCCTTTCATTACCTGTTGATCCAATCCAACTTGAAAACTCCAGAGAGAGCCCGAGCACTTAGTCCTGGTGGTAAAACCCATCGAATTGGTGGATGATCTCGAGTAGACTCGGCTGATAATCTTGCAAAACCTGTAAAGACAAAGAGGAAAATTATTTAAATGTGTTTTAAAGATTTTGCTTACACACTTAAGATAAATACATTATAAGATAAGGCCTCTTCAACACATTCTTTATAAATCGCTTGTATAAAAAAAAAAATCATCCCACAAAATTTACATTGAAAAATATAGTTGCACCAAAATACAATACTAATTTTTCATTCTTTGAAAACATTTGGTACCATACAAATATAAAGATTAATAAAAAATAATATTCAGACAAAATGATAGATAGTAGTCAAATCTTCCAAATTTAAAAAATATAACTTTCATGTTTGTTATTGCACTAAATATAGAAATAGAAACTTACCCTGAAATTTTCCACTTTCTTTAACAGAAAAGACCAAAATGACATTATCTGCTTCCTGAGGAAAAGAAAACAAAACTATTTCACAAAGAGCTTAAACAACCCCCATTAACTTGTATTTCACCTGATTTTTAGCTTATAAGCTTCTCTGTAAATATCAAACTGATATAAAAATGTATTTCAAGGCAGTTGAGTTGATAATTACAATCATTAACAGTAAATTAATTTTGAAGTGTGCAGTAGAAATCATTTTTAATAAACTGATAAATGTTTCTTAATATAGCAAATTACTAAGTACCATAACCCTTTAATAAGCAGCAAACTCAAACCCGGCTGGATATATTGGCTGTCAAAGTCTCAGTGTTTGCATGATTTTCTGCATTAATTGTGATAATGTCGTCATATATTATGATAGAGAATTTATGGGGTGGGTTGAACATTAAAGATTTAAAAGGAATTTTGTTCCCATTCAAGATTTTATGCTAAGTAAAGATTATCACTATTTTTATAGTAGGAAAAAAATACTTAGGACATATCACCACACTTGTAAACTAATCTGGAATAACTTACTCGATATGCTTGATTAAGTCTGGCTTCATTCTGTGGTGGTGTTGACCAAACACCTTTAGCTTTAGCCAAGGCAACATTTTCATGATTGTTGCTTTTAATCAAGAAGAAACGAGCCCTTTTGAATAAATACTTTAAGCGTGACGTATTACCTGAAATTAAAGAAATTAATTTAAATTTGTGTTAATCAACTTTCAAACAGTAAAAATAACATTTTAAAACATTGAAATTTTAATGGCTTCAGTTTTTATTATTTTAATTTTTCCCCCAATGTAAAAATAGATTATGGTTAAGTGTTTCGTGTTATGAGCACATCTCAGCGCAGTATTTGGTAAAAACATGCATTCATATCAACTGTCGATTAATAGTTAAATATTTTATATAATTTTTGACAGTGAGATTGTACATAAGGTTTCTTTTTCAATAAGGGAAGAAATAGGTTATGGGAATCTTTCTGGTTGAGGATTTGCTAATTTCATTAAAGAATTGATTTAGGATTTGATATTCATGTTTACAGATAATTCTCTTGTACTCCTTACATAATTAATTCAGCAAAAACAAATAGAAGCTTAGTTCATTCTCATTTTAGTTACCAAATAGATTTTCAAAGAAAATGCTAATTTCAAACCATTAGACACTTTTATAAAACAAAGACCAATTCAAAGAAATAAAGAAAAACAAATTACAGAATGATTTAGTGATCAAATCCTTCATATCAGAATAATTAAGCCAAGATCTACAATGTAATTTGGAAAAAAAAAGAAAAAAGGAGTTGTCCTATAAAGGAGGATTAAATATTTGAAAATGGGAGTTAAATTAACCAAAAGTAAAAAGAAAAAAAAGGCAGGTGGGAGCTGAAGAAGAAAATAAAATGAAAGAGAATAAATTCACAAAGTTTTGTTAGATGAGAAGTAAATAAAAATTACATACTTTTGAGGAAAAAAAGAAATGCACTTACGTCGTCTTTCCGACTCACTATCATCTCCATCATCTTCAGCAGATTCTTCACTTTTTCGATCCCATTCAATGGGAGAAATACCTCTTTTACGAGGTTTATCCCGTCTAGGCTCATTCTTTTTATCCTTATCGGAAGGGTCTACAAATAAGAAGCATTTTCATCCAGTGACAATAAAAAGTTAGTAAACATAACAGAGACAGAAGCTTAAAAGTAAACACAGAAAATTTAGAATTTTATATAAAGCAGTAAGCAGAAATAGAGAAACTCTGAGAATTATCTATGGTAACGAATATATCTAAATGATTAACTTAAAAAAAAAAAATTTTTTGGAACTGGTATTTGAACAACCCCCACCCTCACAAAAAAACTTGAAACTGTTGGTCAATATTTTAAATCTATTTTTTTTTTTTTTTTTTAAATCCTAAGTGATATACTTGTAGCATGAATAAGTATATTAATGCTGCTGTAAATAAAAGAGCAACATTTATATCTCAGAAGATGCAACATCAAATATATAATTCAATTTGAAACTCTTTAAGTTTGGATATATTAAAAATCAGAACTCTTCTACAAGTGAAAGGCTAATACAGTTTTCAGAGACTTTAATTATTTTATATGACTATTGTTGTATCACAGACAAGTGATAAATTTATTGTCATTTCAAAAGAAAAACTTTAACTGATTTTGAATACCACAAGGACTAATTCAATGTTATTTAATAAAGAACTTTAGCGAAGAAAAATATAAAACTTTAAAGAAAAACCTAATCTCACTTAAATGCCACCTTTTTCAATGCAAAATCTCTTCCCATTTATAGAATTTATATTAATTGAAAAATACTAATTACTACTAAGTTTAATTATCAAAGTATTAGCACTGGTTTGCTATGATGGCTGATGGAAATGTGTGTAAACAATTATTCTACATTTTATTATTAAGACAATTCCAGGAAATGGCTCATCAACAGTTGATTTTTTTAACACTCTTCTTCATTCAGTACAAGGCCCAAGAGCTACTCTAGGAAGAGGATTACTGAATGGGATTGTTTTATAGATGTAAAAATTATAGATTATGAGGATATGTAGGATAGATATGAGGTTAAGATTTTATTGGTTGGGGAAGCATCATCTCATAAGTGTTCGACAAAGCAGCACCCCTTGGAAAGAAGCTATCAAAATGGAAGTTCCTTTTTACCAATGAAATGAGGATAGTTTATCCTTGTGTACAAAGTATGGCAAGTTTTTGAGATAATGGTCTGAACTCATGAAAGTATCTTGTCAGAACATTTCCCATAAAAATTGGAATAGGCTTGCAACATTTTGTCTATGGAAAAGGGGTTGTAGTAGGATGGAAAACAATCCATCACCTTCAAGACCATTTAAAAGCTTTTGAAATAACCAATTTTCTATTTCAAAATGGTATATCTCACTTAGGTGTGCATATGCGGGGGAGGGGGCGTTGGCTAGGACTTATATTTGATTAATGAAAAATTATACGGGAAACAGTGTCCTAATTGGATTGGAAGTTACTTTTTTTCTCCCAGATGGAACATTTCAAAAATTTCATTACATTGTGCCATTATGGTAATAAACACACAACTTAGCATACAGAAATCAGATAATAAGTGTTTAAATATTGTTATCAACCTGACCCACTTCCTTAAAAATAAATAAATTAAATAAAAAAATAAAATCAATATTTTAATAATCAAATATCAGAATGGTTATTTTGAGAAGTGCCCCAGGCTAAGAATTTTTCAGTATCCTCCAGTAATATAGAAAAGCTGAAAATAGTTTAAATGGCAATATTTTGACAATTTGCAGACCAGACAAAAAAATTGTAGCAAGTACTCAACAAGGCTATCTCTATTAAACATATGCTATTTATATTTCACAAGTTAATGAAGATGTTACAACATATAAAAAACCCCCCCCAAAAAAAAAACAGTGGTTGAAAAATTAAATTATCAAAGAATATTGCATATTATTTTAACTTGTGCAGATGTTTGTAAAAAAAAAAAAAAAAAATAAAATGACAATGAAACAAAATTTATTATTGATCAGGATATTAAAAAAAAAAAAGGGGGGGGGGGCATTCAAATGGTGAAAATGTAACCAGACATTCTTTTCCTTCAATTCACTTCATAAACAATCTTTAAAATAATACACAAAAAAATAGATATTAGTATTATTAAATTTAAAATACTGCCATTTTGTGTGTAAAATTAAGGATATTGTTCCTTACATAAATTCCTACAATTGAATTGAGGGAAAATATGAAACTATTTTAGGTGAAACTTGATGAGAAATAAAAAGAAAAGAAAAAAAAAAAAAAAGAGATTCAGAAAGAGTATAATAATTTAAAAATTCACTTTAAAACTTTCAGTTGGCAGTTCTTATCTGAGTTGGGTGAATGAAATAGGATTAAAAAATATGAATAAAGCAAAATACAATTATTCCAGTTGAGGTTTTCAGAGTCTTATTTTTTAATATAAAAACTTTGGCATGAACATAAATGCGAATGAATAAACAAAAATGAGATGAAGAAAAAAAAAGATGAATAACTTCTTTCTCTCTATTTCTTCTATTTGCCATGTTTTTTTGCTCTATATTCATTTCACTGGCATTAACAGTTAAATATGAAACAGATAAAATATGAAACAGATAAAATTTAAAAAGAAAAAGGTTGACGATAATCAATTTGATAAATGGTATGCTGGCAATTTTCCTATTAAGTTATAAATCTAATTAACAAAATCACTTTGATATAAGCTATTTGGCTATATTAATATAGAGGAAGATATTGGGAAACTATATTTGCACATAAACATTATGTTATGGTCTCTTTATAAGATTCCTGTTTTCATTGCACAAATTGACCAATTGTCTTGTATATATGTACACACTTACCAGCACAACACTTTCTTGCATGTATAAATTCAAACTAAAATGGTGGAAAAGACATACATTTCATGTAAATGTCAAATATTAGTCAAAAAGCAAAAACCTTCTTTACCATGAAAAAAAAAAAAAAAAAAATACAAAAATAAAAACAAATAAAAAGATAGAAGTGGAATATGATTTTAAAATAAAGTTTTGTTTTTTTTTCTTTTTTAGTTAAATGCTCTCAGTGTTACATGTAAATTTTGAAAAATCATACATTCCAAGGATGTAAATAAAATATTTACAAAAAAATTAAACTTGGAAAAGATCAATTAAGAGTCTCTCTTTGAGTGTAAAATCCAAATATACCTGTTTTACATTTAGGACAATATTTTCCAATATTTTAAGTGGAATGTCATTTAATCAATGCTTAATCTCTTCTATAGTTTTTATTTTTCAAACAAATCTTCTGCACTCATAAATATCTTGAAAAGATGTTCCACAATGGAACTTTGTAGGCCAGCCTATAATCATCATGCCCATGCATTTTTTGGTGATCTTAGCATTTTGAATGGAAATCAAAATTCCTCCCATGCTGAGAGTTGGCAATAGGGAAAATCGATTTTAGAACCATGGTATTGCACTCAATTTGAAAGTTGAAGTTCGACATGATAAATGACACAAAATATTTTTTTTCAAAATCATTACTGTTTTTTGAGGAAACAAGTTTAAAGATTAAGTTTAGGTTCAAAAGTGGAGTGTAGGTATTTCATTCTGGTGATCAGTGAAAGATTAATGTTGTCAAAAACTTCCATACCCTTATGGAAAACAAATGTGTAAATGTCATTTAATAAAATGTTTTCCAATTGCATTATTTACTAGTTCTCAATAAATCAAAGAAAAATAAATCAGAATTATGAATAATATAAAAATATAAAGGTAAAATGGAAATTAATATGTACTTAGGTTGAGGCCAGCAATGAAAATAGATAACATATAGAATTTAGGTTTTTGTGATTTTTCAGTGAGGAAAAAATAGACTAATTATATATTTTACTACTGTTGATTTTAAAATTAATATTTTTGTTTTGTTTAACACTTAGCAACACATGTTGCCTCTACATTGGATATTTCTTCCAATGAAGAAACAATTGATGATAGACTGTCTCCCTGGCTCAAAACTAAGAGAATTTCCAATCTCTAGATATGCTATGGAAATTATTATGGGTGATTTATCTTCACCCAAGCCTCAACTTAAAGGACATTATCATTGATAAGTTAAAAATAGACAGGGAAAAGTTAGTGTAGAAGTAACCACCCATCAGAAACATGTCCAGAACCACGAAAATAATTGCATTGTTGTTAATTCCATAGCTGATAAAGACACTCTGCAATACAAAGAGATTACAAATGAAAATAGCATAACAAAAAAAAAAAAAAAAAAAAAAAAAAAAAAGGAAAAAAAAAAAAAAAAAAAAAAAAGACCAAAACACCACTTGACATTCTCCAGAAATGTACACAGAAAGTAGATATCACACCCACAGAGTTATCCCTAACATTGGTGCAACTGGTGTTGTTCTAGCAGACAATGCTGCTGCACATTCCATTAAGGTAGTTCTTGCGGACAATAACAATACAAACAGAGGCAGAGCTTGTTACAGCTCTAGAGAAAAAAAAAAAAAAAATCTTAAAAGAAAGTTGCACATTACTGGCTGTTCCCTTTATCAAAATGAACTTCCATTTAGAGCTGTTTTTAAGTACATTGATGGAACTACAAAGGAAAACTAGGGAAACTTTTCGGAAATGATTACCAGGATTTGTCCCAGGTAGAATTTAACACTACCAGTGGCCCTCTGGATAATTTATATCTTACCACAGGGGCAATGGAAGATTTAAGTGGTGAATAGAGACTACTCTTAGAATATACAGCAGGAGTTTCTTGAGGGAAAGTGAACCCTACATTTGCTGTCTGGAAAATTGGGTGTCTAAATCAAGCAAGATGGTTAACTTTAGCCATCAGGTTAAGGTGTTTATGAACCAAGTGGCTATCCAACAGAACTCTGATAAATTGTACAGCCTTATAAAATTTATAATTGAAATATATGCAGTTAGTTGGTTTGAAATTAAAAGAAATAATAAATTCCCTAACCAACAACAGCATAGCTGCAGCATGACCCAAAGAATAAATCAACAGTTGACTGAAATAATATTGTATTTAAATAGCCACCAAAAAGATTTAAAAAAAAAATCACATTCAACTCAAATTTGATTCACCTGTTATAAAATGGAGTTTGTGAACCTGTGCTTCAGAAAGTTTTTCAAATAATGAACTGCAAAAGGTTCTAATGAATGAACATTGGAGTCGCCTAATTTACCTGCACATTTGAAGGGTTTAGAAAATACAGTTAAATCAACTACTGAAGCTTTACAAATTGTATATGGACAAGTAGCAAAGCACAAGTATATTACTAAATCATTGTATCATAAAATAAAACCTTCATTTATTTCAAAGGGAAATTATACTGAATAATTTAGCTATATTATGATGTAATATGTTATACAGTGCAGTAGTTTTAGTGCAATTTTCAATAAACAATTTAAATTTAAAACATTTTGACTTATAATTTGTGCCCAGTAGTATTATGGTATTATATACACATTTTTAATTAATTATAACCTAACAAAAGGTGTAAGATCCTATTCATTGATTAGCCATTTTCGGTACTCATTTACAATTGTTACAGTTTTTACTTATCAAATACAGTAAAATATTGTATATTTTGTTTTGTGATTCATAATTTTGATTTGAATATATTTTCTATTCAATGTATCTAATACAAAAAAATATTTGGATTTATTGTTGTAATAGTAAAATTTTGCTGCAGAAATTAAGTATCTCTGTACATTTTTTCAAACAATCTTTAAACTTAAATGCTCAAAAAGTGGCAAAAGCTATGAACGTAATTTTTGGTATCAGTATTTATCACATCAAATCCCAGCTTTCACATCCAGTGCTTAATAAAAAAAAAAAAAAAAGGAAAAACCAACCAGCCCTAGTTGACAAATAGAACAAGACATTTCTGTGTTATGCTTGCATTCCATGACTGCTAGTTAAGCTTTACTTTTGATGGGAAGTGCACCCTCACATCATAACAAATCCTCTGCCAAATAGATGTTTGGAGAAAAAAAAAAAAAAAAAAAAAAAATTGTTCCCCCTTCTGAAGATTGTGCCAATTGCATTGAGATCATTGAAAATAAACATCACTTCTTCCAAAAGGCATGGTTGCCCGATTCACAGAACTCTCTACACTTTTTGAAGTGATATTATTAAGCAAGTTTATTTAGGAAGCCTCTAAAGTACAATACATCTTTTGATGACTCTTGAAGGTGACTACAGTTTGTAACAGTTGATTTGCTTGGCTTTTTTAGTGTCATATATTTCCAAATTATTAAAAAACAAAAAAAAGTGTCTACTTCATAATAGCAATACTATTGGCCTGTTTATAAGACAAAATTTTTGCCTTATTTCAAAAAGTTTGTTTCACCTGGCATCTTCATAACATGAATAAAATGAAGTATGCATGGTATTTAATCTATAAATGACAGCTGCCAGAAAATGCATGCATGCACACACACATACATACATACAATAGATCTTATAGTTCCACCCTGAACATGTAAGAATTTTCATACATGAGAGCTAGTAGCTAAAAATGACTAAATTTTCCTTCTATTTCCCCAGCTTTAATGAAGTGGATTATATTGTCTGAACAATATTTGAAATTTATAAACTATTTGTGAAGTGCCTTATTTTCAACACTGAAACATTTACTAAATCTAAAAAATTTGCCTTGATCGAATTAATGTTAATAAATATACAGATTAAAAAAAAAATTTTTTTTTCAAATGGTGCTACTTGAAGATAAATACAAAAGACATTTATAAATGTAACAAATTTCTGTAAGCTTAGATATACTACCATTCTCTAAAATTCTAAAACATGTATTAGAAAAAGTAATTCTATCAGAGCAACAGTCATTGTGACAGCATATTCTAATTATTAATAATCCCATATAAATTATTAAACTAAGAATATTTTTTAAATTGCTGCTTATTCTTTCATCTATACAAAAAACTATCAAATTTATCTACAGGAAAATAGTTAATATAATGAATAACATTCTTTTTATCTACAAAACAAAAATAAAACAAAAAAATATTTAAAATTCATGCAGACAGAAAAAGAGAAAAGCTATTTACTAATAATTGCATAAGTAACAGAAAACTGTTTAAAAAAATGTCTGATAACAAGTGGCTATTTACTTAAGGCTATAAAAAGAACTTGGTCTAAATGGACAATAACAACTAATGTTTACCAAATGAAAATAAAACTTAATTTGAACAGAAACAATATTTCTGTCCAGTCAAACAAAAGATTAAGTAAAATGCATAAAAAATAAAGAAATGAAATTATAGAAAGTTAAAAAGAACAAAAAAACAAAAAAAAGGAACACAGGTTGGGGGTAGGTTATATTTGTTTTCAAGTCTGATGAGAACTTACAAGATTCTGAATCAGAGCCTGTAAGGGAAGACTCCAAACTGGAACTGCCAGTCTCACTACGAGTATCATAGTCCTGAGTGTCCATCGCATCGTTGCCACCCGGGGCCATGTCCTCGGATTCTTCTGCACTCAGACTCACATTGTGCTTGTCATCAGAATCATCTTCATATCTCTCATCACTCTTGTTCATGAGAAGTTCATCTAGAAGAATACCAATAAGTTTTACATCACAATCTAATCAGACAAGATTTTTTTAAATAATGAAAAAGAAACAAACTACCCTTTATTGAATTTAAAACAAAAATAAAACTCCTTAGCAATTGTTTTGTTGTCATATTCATACTATCTTAAAAATGTCTTCAAATTTTAGTGTTGAAAAGATTCTAAATCTCTCTAAATTTTAAGAAACCAATAAAGTTTCTTTCATGCAAATATAGTGAAGCTCCTAAGTATTGATTCCTTTCTATTTTATACTTAAAAGGTTGACACTAAAAAGTATTCTAAAGTGCTCCCTTTTGTTTTAGAAGATTAAAAAAAAGAAAACCTTAGTCATCAAAGTTAACTATACCTAATATCCTAATATTCTAAGTATTGAACGATACAAAGTTAATGATAACTAAGGAATATTGATGAATTTTGAAACAATGCCGACAATATCCCTAAAATTCACATACCTTCTGCATCTTTGTCAAGATCAAGTGTATAATCATCATCCTCTAAATCTTCAAGATCTTCATTTTCTCTCAATTGTAAGATTTCTTTGTGAGATTTGTCAGGTTTCTTCAAAACCTTTTTCACCTCCTTTCTTGCAGGTAACTTCTTCAGATTCTTGTTTGTTTTAGAGTCTGTTCAGAGAGATAGGAAAAATTATATCTCAATTTTATAATTTTAAAATGACAAGTATTTGATATTACTAAATGTTTTACAAAATATTTGAGAAAAAATAAATTCATAGTCCAAATATTTAACAATAAAATTGACAAACATGTATGTTCATGTCAGTAGATAAAATAGTAAAAAGTGTAATCAAAAGATGCTGTGACAGGAATACATTTACATTCTTTAAATTACAAAACATCTTCATTATGCAAATGATGATAGAAGGAAAGCTGGAGTTTCAACCTTTTGTAATTTATATAAAAGGATGAATATTAGCAAACAAAAACTTTACAAAGAGAAAACCTTTACATTTAAAAAGTAATAAATTAAGATAAATTTCCTGTTACATTTTTCTTCCTTAAAAATTGTTTCAGTGAATAAAGAGTATAAATTAGAATCTACAAGCTGAAATATACATTAAAACCTACAGAAAAAAATAACTTCATAACACACCGACTCTTATATAATGGTCAGACGATGCCAAGCAAAATATTTAGTTTTAGTTAAATATTGAAATTAATTTCCTTTATAATAACTAAATTAAGTAATAAATTAATTTTCCTTTCATAATCAAGTGAAAAGGAGTTTTCATAGTTTTTATTTACTTTCCGAGTCTTCTAGTTTTGATTGATTTGGGTTTTTGAGTATCTTTTTTGTTGTATGTGTAATTGCTTGGAAGTGGATTTTAATAGTATTATAATTTACATGAATTGATTGCACCTTTATTGATGTACTTGCCTCATTAATTAAATATTTAAAATAATGTACATGCTGATTCTGAGAACTAAGAATAGATTAACATATTTTTAAATGTTAGACTTAGTTAAGTAATGACATTTACTTTGTCTCTCACATAAGATGGAAATAATTTTGCTACACACACATACACACACACACACAGTGAGTAAGACCATCACTGACATGTCCAGCCCTTCACTTGCTCCCCCCTCTGCAAAAACACTGCATTCATCAGTTGTGTGAATGACAGTAGCTCAAAGTCAGCCATCATATCTGCATTTCTTGTCATATATGTGGCACATCAAATCACCTACGGGTGGTGGAAGGAGACTTTGATCATCATCACTTCCAATGTGCGCTTTCATATGCCTTGTCAGGCCCGAGCTGGACTTGCACACCCTAGTGCAGGTCAGGCATTCAAAGCATGCCATTACGAAATTGTAATATACAATAGACTGTTGGTATTGGTGTGACCGCTGGTGTTTATTATTTGATTATTTGGATTGATTATTTTTACTTGTTTTTGCTTATTTACACAAGTAAACTATATATTTTTTTTAATTTTATGGTGGGCATTAATGAGTTAATGTAGAATGTTACTAATATTAAAAACAATAATATTAATTAAGGACAACATGATGATTGACTAATAACTTTTACTTAAGAGTTTATCTCTTGAGGGAGTGTCGTCATAAAAAAAAAAAAAAAAAAAAAAAAAAAAAATCTTTATTTAAAATATCAATTGCAGCTGGCATTGTCTAGAGGCAAATGTTTTAAGCAGTCATTTAAGATTAAATATATTTTAGGAAGCCTATAAAAAGCAAAAATAGTTCTGTTTATTTTTAACCCTTAAGACAATTTGCTTTGCTTACATTTTTTTGTAAACATTTATGTGATAAAGAATATTTTTCACACTTAAAGAATTACATTTTACAGTGTGTGTATGTGGGGGGGTGATATAGACATTCTAATTATTTAACTCTGAAATAGTCAGAAAATAACTTTTTATGCATAACATAAAATATCTAAGAATTTTCAAATAATTTAGATTTTATGTTAATTACATAATTTAGTTAAAAAAACACAAGTCTCCCATTTATACAACTAGAACCAAGTGAAAACATTCTCAAAATGTAATTCCTTTTTAGTATATACATCAAGTATATAAAAAAAGGGGCTCAAATGCCCACACAGAGTTATTGTGTCAAATCAATAAGTGTCTGACCATCACCAATACTTTTTTTTTTTCAAAAGTGGTACACTTATAGAGCTTCATGAGAGATTGATCGCTACCTACTACCTATTTTACATCTCTAGGTCAAAGTGATCTCAAGATATGACCTTTGCCAAAAAGGTGAATTTTGGAAAATAGTCACAAAGTTTAAAAATCAATATCTCAGTTGCTTTCTTTACCCACAAAGCTAAATTAGATACCATTTTAAAGTACTTGGATAGATCTAAAAGGTTATTTTTTTTTTGTTTAAAAGGTCAAATAAGATAATTAGACCTTGACCACAACCATTAATTTCTCAAAAAACATATCTTTAATTTTTTTTTAAATTTGACCAATTTGTTCTGCCTTATGGTAAGATATGTACAAAATTTTGTGATGACTGGCCTGAGTTGTGGCAAATTCAAAAATGGTGGATTTTGGTATTTGCCACTAATCTATTTGTTGTATAATAAAAATGTAAACAAAATCAAATATAGGGTTGTTTATTTTCCACAAAATTGGTCAACATTTAACCACAAATCACACAAATTCTGATGATTTAATGATCATAGTTCTTATGTGAATATTAATCAGCATTCAAAGAGCTTCCTAAAGTTATCCAGCTAGAGCACATGAAAATGTTGGCATATAGTGGCAAATACCAAAATCCGCCCTTTTGAATTTGCCACAACTCAGGCTAGTCAAAAGTCCACCACAAAATTTTATACATATCTTGCCATGAAGCAGAACAAATTGGTCAAATTAAAGAAAAAAAAATTAAAGATATGCTTTTTAGAAATTAAAGATTATGGTCAAGGCCAAATTATCTTATTTGATCTTAAAAAAAAACACCTTTTAGATCTATCCAAGTACTTTAAAATGGTATATGATTTAGCTTTGTGGGTGAATAAACAACTGAGATATTGATGTTTAAACTTTGTGACAAAAAAAAAAAAAAAAAAAAAAAAAAATGTTAATGATGGTCAGACACTTGTTGAAGTGACACGAAATGATTCAACTGAAAAGATTAATAAGCAATTATATACAAAATAATGCATTGATCACTGGCATACAAAAAATAACAACATCAAAATACACAAAGCAAAAACTAAACAAAAGACATATTTTTAATAAATTGTAGGAAAATGTATAAATTTTCCATTTCTACTGAAATTAAATAAAATATCTTATGCATTAAATATAATCACATCATTTAATTCTTAAATTTAAAGACTCCAACCTAATACAGTGAATGTAATCAATAAAAAATTTAATCAGAAGGTTGAGTCCAAATACATTTGGAGAAGGAATTATTCTCTTCTTCCCCACCAGCTGCAGGTTTAAAAAAAAAAAAAGAAAAAAAAAAAAAAAAAAAAAAAAAAAAAAAGAAAAGAAAAAAAAAAAAAAAAAAAAAAAAAAAAAAGAAAAAGAAGTAGTAGGGCACACCGGGCCCTCTAACTTTTGTAGGGGAACCAGTCTAATAGAGCAATGGTGAATTCAGAACCATGTCGGAGAGATAGGAAAGCATTCTACAACCTTTTTCCAAAAACAGTCATGGCAATTTACAGATATATAAAAGGAAACTCGTGGAAGGGACATGGCATTAAGAATGAAAAATACAAAGTCATTGCTGATTAGCATACCTGAAGGGCTTCCACCAATTTCAAATGACACTAATATAGATGGTCAAGGTATAACAACAACTACTAGGAAGTGATATAAATGCACACCAATACAAATATTGTGTATAGCACATTCATAACCCTCAAATTAACCAACCTTTGTCATCCCCTGACTTGTTTTGTACTCTAGATCTGGACTCTTTCACTTTGCCATTGTCAGTTTTGACAGACACTGAAGTGGTGCTGCTGACCGATTTCCCTACTCCTTTGCCTTTAGTAATGGAGGTTTTGGGTTTGGATGAAGACTTACTTGAAGAGACACTACTTTTCTGTTTGGCAAGCATTGCATGTTCTGTAAAAAAAATAAAATACAAAGATAAAAAAATAAATATATATATATATATATATATATATATATATATATATATATATATATATATATATATATATATTCTTATTGTATGTTTTCTGAGTGTTTCAAAATAAACAAACATTCAAAAAGTACAGAAAAAGAATCAAATAGATTATGCTTGCTTGTTAAGAGCTTTAGTGATTTATAAACAAGTCAAGAATGAGAATTTAATGCTATTTTGTTATGATAAACCAAATTGGGCAAGAATTAAAAAAAAATTACAAGAAAAAAAAAAAAAAATTATGTACGAAATAAATTATTTTCTTAACAAGAATGGAATTAGTACTTTCCAAAGATTGGAGAATATTTTATAAACATGTTACACACAGCACATTAGTTTTAATTAAATAATGTAGAAATAAGTACCTTTATTCAACTGTGGGGATGGCTTATCAAATTTGTTTTCAAATTGATTATTGTTCCCATTCATTAAATGGTAATAAAAAGTGTAAATCTAATTCTTAGGCTGTTTTTAAAATTTAGACAAATTATTTCCATTGAAAAGAGAAGAAACTTGTCTATAGATCTAAATTCAGATATTCACAACTTGTAAAATGGCAACAGTGAAAACTGCTATGCATGATCATAATGTAATCAAAGAACAAACATTCCTCTTTACTAGTAATAAACAAACTAGGTTTGATTCATTTACACTTTTTAAAGAATAAAAAATTACAGCTATTTTGAATAGCTTGAGACTGGTTATGCAGCCTTGATACAAGTTGGCAACCAATCAGAGGGTGCATGTATTAAGAGACCAGGGTTTGAATTTAAAATTGTCTCGTCATCAGTAGAACATTAGTTTAAAAGAACTGGTTAGCATTAGTGCCTACCTTGAGCTGAAATGTTAAAAAATAGGTCTGGGGAAGGATGCTAGGATTTATTCATTTTTAATTAAAATTCAATTATAGATTTATTTTAAAAGCAACTAATTAATTAAAAAAAAAACAAACAAAAAAACTTCTCACAAATAGTGGCAAGATTTAAGAAATAAAGCATGCATGCACAAAAAAAAAAAAAAAAAAAAAAAAAAAAAAAAAAAAAAAACTTAAGCATATTTTTAAACTGGTGAATGAAACCTGAAGGAGAAAGAAAGGTTAAAAAGGTCTAAATTCAGATATATTATTAATCTCTAAATGCAATTTAATTGTAAGAAATATTTTTAATTTAATAAAACAAAATCAAGAAAATTATATCTTATGTCAATTTTGGGTTAAATGAACCATTAATAAACATTTATGTTATATTTTCACCTGATCAAACTAAATTGAAAATATTTGGGAGGATTTAAACAAAGTTGTGTCACAATATGAGGCAGATAAATGAAAATTCTTTTAGGACTTTAAAAACATTTTTGACTGTACAGTTGAAATGCACTCAGACTTTATATGAAAAATAAAAAGTATAGAGCAAGCTTTTTAGCCTGACAAAAGTAACTCTGAAGCTGAAAATTAATCAAGAACATTTCCATGCAAAATTATTGAAAGTGATTTAACTCAAAAAGGATAAAATAAAAGTGATTCCTATAAAAAATAAAATTTAACTAATTTTTTTTGTATTTATTTATTTTTAAACTTAAATTTATTAAAATTTTTATTACAATCTGAAAAACTTGCATTAAAAACAAATTTCTGAAATTGTGAGAAAAGATTTCGTAAAAGTTAATATTTTAAAATGAATAACTACGAATTAATTAACTTTGAATTTTATTTTTTATACAACGTTTTTGTAACAAAATTTATAATTTTTGAATTATTAAAACATTCCTTATTAGAGTGCTAAAATGATATTTTCCCCACTTTAAATTACAATTTAAAAATAAAATATTAAAGACATTAAAAAATGCATCTTATATCTATCTACATACAAAACTTTAAAAAAAAATCAAGGATTATAAAAAAGGCTCAGATAGAATGTTTAAAACTATAGAAACAGGAGGGGTCTCATAAAAGAGCAAAACATTAAGAAAAAGTGAATCCTGAGATAAGAGAATTCAGATCAAAAGGACCAAAGCTGATGACAATGAGGACTTCAAGCCTTGCATCATCAACAGCTTCTCTAAAAATCATGTCCAAGTGCTTTCAGAATCTATAGACCAGTGTTCCAAAGGTAATCTCCATATGATTCAATATATCCAATTGGCCAAATGATGCTACAGAGCAAGTAACATTTGACACCACAGAACTAAATATATTCATGGAGCATTGCAATCTAATAATATTAGTTTTGTGAAAACTTTGAATCTGTGGAGGTAGATAGGCAAGAGTGACTTGAATCTAAAAGTTACTATTAACTGGCATTACAGGAAACTTGATTCTCAAGTACTGTGGCAGTATCCACATTCAAGTGCAATCAGTTCCAAGACATGAAGGTGGCCATGGAAACCAGTCTCAGCATCCCAATGAATTTCTCATGCTGTGAACATGGCTTCTTTAGCATGAAGAGAATAAATTCAGACTGGAAGGGCTGCCTTTCAAATGAAATATTCAGCTGCCACTTGCAAATCTCTATTCATGGACCTTCAGCAATATTACACAGAGAAAGCAGTGACCAAGTGGTGGAATAAGAACCATAGAGATAAGTTTAAAGATTAAATGCATCAAAATTAGCAACTATAATAAAATTAAAAAACATTTTGATTTGAAGACAGTTCTACGATGAAAGTAAAAAAAAAAGTCTGGAGCCCTACAATAGAAATTTCTCATAGGGTTACTCTGTTAACAATGAGATATGATTGAATGAGTTAGTGTACTGTGTGACAATCAAATTCATTGACAAATGCATCTTCAGCTCATTCAGGGTATTTGTCAATTTATCATATCAGTGCATGTCAACATCCTATTTCTAAGTTGAAATTTCAGACTGTAGATACATTTAATATAATGCAACAAGATGGCAATACCAAAAAAGAACTTTGTAGACTATTTTGAAATGTGGAAGGAATGCTATGAGAAGTGTATGAGATTGTAATGGAAACACTTTGAAGAGACTAAGGTGCAACTGCTCTTGGTAGGTTATTTCCTCATCAACATAAAAATGGCTGGACACTTTCTGTACAGACTGCAGAACAAGCCTTGAGATTAATGACATCCTAGGGATAAGAAAACATTAAGTTTGGTATGATACAAATTTTTTAATCAAAATTTAATTATGCTTATTCTAAAAGAAACTAATTTCTTCAAATAAAACTTCTCACCAAGCATTCTTTACTAAAGGTTGTGACATGGCACTCAATATTGAATGTTAAATTAGACATATAATCAGTTTATTAAGGGACATGCTGTCTTTGTTTCCTCATCTCTTTTTTTTAATTTCCTGTCTAGCCAGTTCTGTCTCAACTAAGAAAAGGCAGGAAGGAATCTGTTGCTTTACAATAAGACAGATTGACCTCTGAACAGAGCAAGTAACATCATCCCAAGGATCCTGGATTTGTTCAACTACTTGATGTGTAGTGAATCAAAAAAGAAATTATTCCCAAAGACTGGATTTATTTGACTACTTGATGTGGAGAAAATAAAGGAATATTGTACCCAGAGAAATCATCTCAACTTCATCTTGGATGTAATTTGATTATCAGAGGAGGAACAAAATACAAGCACTATTCCGGAGACTTATCTTATATTGCAGAAAGAAGAACTACTGATTTATGTAGACATTTTACAGCGACTGTCTATTCGCCATTATGAACATTTGAACTTACAAAGACATAAAACACAAATGCTTGAACACCCAGTATCAGATAAGTGCCTATTATTGATTTTATGTCTGTCTTCCCATATTTTGTTGATTTTTGTTATATAAAATTGTTTACAAACGTTTGTGACGTGTTTGTTATTTGTTTGTATGTTTTTATCTGAGCGAACGTACCTTTTCTTTTTTGAACCTAGGGTTTATATCTCTATATGCTGCAATTTCATAACAAGGTCAAGTCATAGTGCAAATCTTACCCAGAACTGAAGGCCTCTCTCAAATCTTGTTCAAATGGGAACAAAGATTTAAGAAATTTAAAGAAAAAAAAAGAAATCAAGAGCATAATTTGATTCAAAAAGTTAATCCTCTTTATCTTGATATATTTTTTTCTTTTATTAAAAGGTCATTACAAGTAATATATAACTTGGCAGAGATTCAGATCAATACTTCCCACCTCGTTAACTTCAGTGTACAAAAAGTTATATGCATTTTAACCTTTCAATTAATTACCCATATTAAAATAGTTTTAATGAAACAATAACCATATCAGAACTAAAATTCTGTAATAAAAATATGACAGAACAAAATAAGCATGAAAGTAAATATTTATATTTTATTGCTTAGAAATAAAGTGACTATTGTTGTGCTGACATTGTCATAAATATACTATTTATGGTTAGAAAAAAATTGACTCTTAAAATGTGTGGTTTAATAGCAGGTTAATGTTTTGTATATATCATTTACAATATCTAAAAATATTGAATCAAAAACTTTACAATGTTCTTAAATTATTATTTTTTTAATTAATTTTGTAGTATAAAGAATCACATTTGTTCCTATTTTATGCTTTTTAAACACCTTTTAAAACGAGAAGAGATGCATTATGACATGGGCGTTAATGACAAGTTAAAAATTCATCTTCAAGATGCATGTTCCTATTTGAAACTAGTCTCAGTCTAACCTCTTCAAGTCTAGTGTCAACTACTAATTATTCTATATTTCCTCATAATCTATGATTCTTACATTTAAAACATGATCCCATTCAGTAACACTGAATTTAGTGTTGTAGGGCCTCAAAATCCACTTGATATAAATTATTAAAAAAAAAAAAAAAAAAAAAAAAAAAAAGGAAATGGAAAAGGAAAAGAAAAATAAGTGTCAAGTTAAACCTTTGCTCCCAGAGAACAGCAAGATTTGAGATACACCTTCAGTTCTGGGTGGTAGTTGCACTATGACTTGGCCTCTAGTAA